TACAGCTTGCAGTTTAGCTGATTCCTACTCAAGAAACAGGATACTAAGGATTTTTATAAAATAATGCATTTTTTCCTTAGAGATCAAAATGGGTTGCTGACCAGAAAAATAGTCCATGGGAATACTTAGGGTTAATATCAGTCCCTAAGTCATTAGTATTAAGCTGTTTTTGTGCTTCTTCCAGTTCACATTCCCACTGATATCAAAAAGCAAATAAGATTAAAAATGAAAGGTCTTATTTCACTGGAATTCCTCTGTACAAATTTTGATCTATTTCTAAATTACCAACACCACTGGAAATAAAAAGTTGGCCAGATTTGACATACATAAATTCTAATGCTTAATTTACACATTCAAGTCTAAAATTTAACCAGTAATTTCAAGGAAGTATGTCCAAAGTTATATAGCAACTCTGAAACATCCAAGCTGTGGGTTTTTTTTTTTTTTTTTTTTGTTTGTTTGTTTGTTTGTTTGTTTTTCCTTCCCCCCCCCACCAGCCTAACACCACCACTATTTGATACTTCCCAGAGAGTTATACAGCACACAGAAACACTTATACTCCCAAAAGCAGATACTGAAGGACTGCTAATGTTAAAGAAGAGTAGCTAGGTAGGTAGAAAAGCCATGATTTCATTTACACATGAGTTAAATTAAGGTCTGTTAACAGCTATTTTCAGATTTTAAACTTCATGCTCATTATCAAGGCATTTGATTTGTGGTGTCATTACAGAAGCCTGGTACTATGTAACCCAACTGCATGACTCAAGCAGACCAGCAGTCCAGCCACACCACTGCTGGATATGAAGTCTGTTCTGCCTTGTCTCTACGTATGTCTAGTCACCTGCCCTGGCCTTCATGTCAACAGAAACCATCAGGCTGGTAGCCAGAGCTAGAATCAGTGTTTACAAGAAATGCAGTAGAACCACTTTCACACATAACAGGACATCTAACCTTGCAATAGCCATCAGCTGCATACAAACGGCAACAAGCTTCTACTGTGTTTTCAAGCAAAAACTGAAAAACAGTGTTGCATTCTAGGCAATTGCCACCCCCAGCAAATAAAGTTTCAGTCATGAGACTTTGTCTCAATTCCAGAAGACTTCCAGGGACTAGGAAAATTCAGCTGCATCATACTGATACAGGACACCCAGATAGTCCCCCAGCTTTTCTATGCAATTCTTCCTCTACTCTGTATTAGAACTGTAAGAAATGCTCGTCAGAATAAACATCTCTCCAGTTACCCACCTTCTGCTGTTAACCCCTACTGCAAACTACTGTGTACAGCCACAAAGGGATTACTGCTGCTTGACTACTTACCACAAGCACTTTCATCACTGCCATCTGAACAGTCTTCATCACCATCACATTTCCAGAGTAAAGGAATACAGCGTCCATTACTACAGGGGAACTGGGATTCCTCACATTTTGTTTTTGCACCTTTAATGAAAAGAAAAGAACCTGAGCCCCTGTGCTACTTAGCACTATCTCCTTTGTTGCATCCCATACTCCATGAACAGATGTTTTCATGCTGATGCCAAGTTCTGAATTATTTTATTGTTGCCAACTTTGTGAATCACGACAGTAGAACCAGAAGTTTTCCTTCACTGTAAAACTGCAGAGATTAAGCAGTATAACAGTTTACCTGCCAGATGGTAGTAAATCAGTCTCAGTGTTCACAATATTGAGCTTTCATTTTTAAGACAGGGTCAAGTTTGCAAGGCAAAGGGATGCTCATGAGCAGGCTCCTGCTGCCTACAGCCTGTCTCTGCATTCTAAAAACCTCCACAGACTTTGATCAAGCTGCTTTTAAACATGAATAAATTTCAAACCGGACTGGCATTCCAGTACTCTGAAGCTAATGTATTACAATCCCAAGATGTTTGTAAAGGTGGCTTAGATATCAGCTCTATAACTGAACAACATTTTTTCATCATGTAAGTTACTTCAGTAATAGCCCCAAAGTTACAGAAATTACAATAATGAACAGAGATAGTTCCCACTATCTGACTGTTAACAGAGTCCCCATGAGCAAGGGTCCACAGAGGCATTCCTTGGTAGATGCAAAAGGAAGTGTGATGACATATCTGTATTTTTTCCTCATTATTAAAGCTAGGTCTAGCACAATGCTAAGAGAGCAAGACAATTTATCACTTCTTTCTGGAATTAAGTCTCTTGTCTGCAAACAGTTAAGCCTGATTATTAATATGCTTAAGTCAGGTACTCTTGTTGTGCATGATGCTTGAAGTGAACTCTCCAGAATATCTTCCATCCTGAAATGGTATGTCCCTGTCCCTCAAGGGAATATGCTTTGTCTTGAAGCGCTGCCACAACTGTCAGTGAAAGCAGCAGCATGCCTCTTTAGCAGAGAAGCCAGATCTGTTCCACATAATGCAAGTCTGTGAGTACATGCATAAGTTTTGGCTGCACATGTCTATGGCATGATGCAAAACTCCTGCTCCTCCTTGATCTACTGTAATGGTGGTGCTCCGTTTCGGCCTTCCACAGCTTTGATAGGGCATCTAATTTTAGCAGAACTCCACTTGCTATTTTATATCTTTGGTGTATGACATGCAATATGCAAGACAGTTTCCAAATGAAGGGAAGCCAATAAACTTTCTGACACCGATCCATTTCACATTATACTGCTAGCTGTCAAGCATTAGAAAACAGCAAGCACTGGACAGAGCATAAGCAAGAGAACAAGGGCAGTTTTGCTTGCCAACTGTATAATGTAAATTCATGCTGTAAGTAAACGATTTGAAATAGCAGCTTATTGAGCTCTGATGTTTCAGCAGTTTTACTGGTTGAGTGAAACACTGACAGAGTCAAGCTGTAACATTTTGTTTTGTGGGAATTGTTTAAGGAGTGTCAGGACAACTGAACATCAGCACATACACTGTTCACTTCCATCACTCCTTTCCAGGGTGGGAGTTGTACCAGCAGGCAGTTTCCAACACAAGGTTTTCAACATTAACACAGCTTGGTCAACAGCTGTCAAACAAGCAGCTTGCCTAGTAGTGCCAGAGGGGAGACTTCAGCCAGCTGAGCGTGTACAGAGGCCACAGCTATCAGCTTGCTATCAGTTGGCATCACCCTACTGTCCAATTGCTGCTAACAGAAGTAGACATCTGCTCGCCTGGTCACACAGCATTCTAGTTATTTCTGTATTATTAGCTAAAACACAAAGTGACTGACTCCTGCTAGTTTTGAGACGTTCTTACCCAGGCTTTCGGAGTGGGAACAGCCAACCATTCCCAAAATAGCACGCCAGAGCACTATTAGACTAAGCCTGCCACTCAGGGGATCCCAAAATAACTCCCACAGCCTTTAGTTATGCTATTTCAAGCTAGAATAACTTAGTAAAGGCTTGCACAGTATATTGTAACTTACAGTGTAACACCACTTTGACCAAAAAAACATCAGGGAAACACTCCACAAAGCTAAATGGAACAGGAGCTGAGCTGGGAGTTAAAGCTATAACTTTACAATCACTGCAAGGAGTCATCCCAAAGAGGTGCCATTTCTCTTGCAGCTGACATACCAAAGCAACTACTTTTGTCAGCCTGTGAACAAATAAGGAATTACTAGCCAAACACTCACCCACCAAGGTTATCATCTGTTGCTACTCCTTTAAGATAGCTCTCAAGCTCTGAAGGCCACACTCAGCAAGTTCCAGCTGATCACCACCTTCAGTCCCATCCTTCACTAAGCACAGTTCTGCAATGCCAGGCAGACATTTAAGCAAGATGCTACCACTCTAATCCACCATTCTTTGAAACAGCCTCATAGCTCAGCTGCTGCTTCTGTCGCTAGCCATCTAGTGATTTTCAGCTTGATATCAAACAACCATTAATTCAAAAGCTGTTCTGCATGTGCTGGTCATACATCAGAACCTTTCATCCTCTTTAGAATAAGTCTTGGGTGGAAGAGGAAGACAAGTAACTACAAGTTACTTGTAGGCTAAGTGTCAGAAATATCACTGTACTGTTTCCCAGGTTACCCACTTCTGAGGAACGAACTTACAAGCAGGATGAAGGATCAGTTACCATTTCCAACTAAGTTAACACATCCAAAGCTTTTTCTCTTAGCTCTGCCTTAACCATTTGTCTCCACTCCTTAAGCAGATTGTCAGTTTACTTCTCTGAGGCCAGCCAGACATGTGACAGTTGTGTGCTGTCATATGACACCAACTACCAGAAAAGCTTGCAATCCTGATTGGGAAACCCACACACAGAGGAACAAGCAGAGCTGCTTTGGGAGGCCACCACCTCAAACTGAATGAAGAAACTCAGAGGACTAGAGCTGCCTGCAATGCCTGACTCCTCATAAGATTTCTAACTACCACGCACCAGTGGTCTCAGTGCCAGCAAGCTCCAACCTTCGTGTTACAGCTGCATAACCAAAGGGCCTGTGTCTACTGTAGAGAAGGCATGGAAGCAGTCTACAGATCAGGAAATGGAGGCATGGTCTGAGCACAGACTTCTTTCTCAGTTACGGTAGGAGAACTAGGAGGCAGCCTCCTGGCAGGGTCCTACCCAGCAAACCCCATGTCTAAACTGCAGCACACTGCTGGGGCTACAAAGCCTAACTCTCTATAAGCATGTGTTGAGAACACAACCAAAGCCAAACACTTCAGTGCACTTCAGAGCGCTGGTCAGATTACAGCACACTGCTCCCAGGCCATCAGCTCAAATGCAGTACAACAACACACAGCAATTGCCCACCACCCCCCTAGGAGAGCAGCTCGTCTCCCGGAGAAAGAGAGAAGTCCGTTCACTGATTACCCCTCCAGTCAAAGGGAAAATGATTTTAATTGACCATGCAACTAGCTTAACGTTCAAGTTCCATTGCTGCAGAGGTAACCACATCGACACCGGCAACAACCACCTTCTGAGCTACCTGTGACGGCCCGCTTCGCGAGGGCTTCAGCGCGGTAAGACTCAACCTCGCCGCCAGGTGGAGATCCCCCATGGTGGTTACGGCTGGCCCGAAGGAGCCACGCCAGCGCCGCTGGATGCCACCAAGCCGAAGTTGCAGAGTAGTTTGACAACCCCTCCGGCACGGTGGGCCGTCCCGGAGCTGCGCTCCTCGCAGCCCAGCGTAGAGACCCTCCCTCACCGCCAGGCATCGCCAAAACTCCCGCAGCAGCGGCGGCACCGCGGCGCTCCCGGCAGAGCCGCTCCGGGGCGGGGAGGGGCGAGCCGGCCGCGGGCTCGGGCCCACCCGCAGCGCCCCATGCGTGCTCTGTCCGCCCGTGGAAGCGGTGCCTCGCGGCGAAGAGTGGTGATGGTAGGCAGAGCCCGGAGGCCCCGCGCGCTTCCCCTCCTCTCCGCGGAGCCCCAATCCCCCCCGCACAAAAGAAAAAGCACACCCCAACCAGACAAGGCGCACACACACACACACACACACACACACAGCCAGCACAGCCGGACGACCCACGAAAACAACCGAGAGAGGTGAAAGGGAAGAAGCGATCGCGGGGAGTGGCGGGAGCACCCCGGCGGTGCGCGCCCCAGCTCCGTACTCACCGTCGGTGGCAGTCAGCAGGCAGCCGAGGGCGAGCAGCAGGCAGAGCGCACCGCAGCGAGGGAGCGCCCACCGCCGCGCCCCACACCCGCCGCCGGCCACCGCGCTCCGATCTCCACGCTGCCGGCTCGACCGCATCGCCGCGCCGAGGGGACGGAGAGAGGGAGGGAGGAGAGGCGGGGAGGGCGGGCGTGCAGACGCCGCGGTCAGAAAAGCGACGAGGAAAGGAGGGCGCCGGGGACATGCACGGGGGGAGGGTGTCCCCGCGGCGCTCTTATACCAGCTGCCCGGCCGCCCTGCGCGGCCGTGGTGACTCACGGCGCCGCGCCGGGCCCCGGTTGGCTCGCCAGCGCCGCCCGCCCCCGCTTCCTCCTCCGCGGCACCTGCGGCCGCTCTGGCGTGCCCGCACACCGGCTCGGATCGGCGCGGTGAGTGGCGGCGCGGTGTGTGCCGCGGGCTGAGCTTCCCCTTCTTCCTGGCCTTCCTCCCGCGGCCGGAGGCGCGCGGCCCCGCTGCCAGCCCCTGCGCGTGTCCGGCGGTCGGGGCAGCCCCGGTGGGAGCGGCTGTGCCGGGCAGCAGCTTGCGCCGGCTTTGTTCCCGCACGCGCCGATCCCGCGCCCCGCCGCGGGGAGGGGGTGTTGCTGGGCCCTCCGCGCTGGGCAGCACCGCGAGGCGTGCCGGAACACGCGCCGAGGGATGGCTGTTGCCAAAAGAGCGTTTGTTGAGTTCGGTGTCCCTTCGCCGCGTGCTCCCCTGCGTGTTTCCTCCCTCCCGCAGCAGAAGTTGGCTTAAACGAAGCGGGCGCTGCTTTTTGAGGAGGAAAATCGCTACTTCTGCATTCTGAAATCAGAGATTGTAGTTAGTAATTGCACGAAATGGTATGCCAAAGTCGTGTGTATTACAAGCTTACCCTTATATTTTAAGGAGAATTGGTGGTTTTGTTCTGCACGTGTAACCTTTTGAACATCCAGTTATATCTTGGTGAATGAAAAAAAGGATGGATCCTTAAAAAGCAAATGTGATTTTGTCTGCGGCGCTATTAAAATTTACAACTGAGTTCTAGTGATTCTGTATCATATTTACTTTTTTTGTATTTCATGTTAATAGCGTGTTCTATGCTCTTAATATCTTGGTGGAAATGCAAGCTTCAGCGAGATTCTTCATCCAAAAACAATTAAGGAGCAGGGTGTGCTTTCATTCCTTGGAAGTGAAATTTTGAATTAAACTGACAGTAGTGTAAGTTAGTTGTTGGTCACTTTCAATTATGGAATGATTCTTGGAATGAAGCACTGTTTGCTGTTCCATGCTGCTGAAATGCCATAACATGTTTCTTTATGTGTTGTTTGCAGATGGAGCCCTACTTGAGTCATATCCAGTTGTGTCGTGATTCCACTGGAGCCAAATCACACCACTGCATTAATGACTTTGGAGTGGATTATCTCGCACTGGCATGTAACTAATGATCATCCAGGCCATCCAAATGGGCAAATGGTTGATGTTGCAGAGACTTATTAAAAAAGGGAAAAATTTAATTTCATGTAAATGGAGTACATCTGGAAATTGTATTTCTAATGTGTAGATAAATGCGAAGAGAGCACTTCCTTTTGTTTACCTTCCTACAGCCCTTCCTCATCCTGGCCTCAGGGGCAGGGTGGAAAAGGCTCTGCTTTCTCATTCTGCTTTGGATGTGGCATTGGCTGCTACAGCCATGTCCTTGCAAACATATGCTGCTTCCAACAAGAAAAATGTATTAAGTACAAGCGGGTTGACTGGGGTCCTCAAGAAGATGGCTTAGTTTAAGCGGTACTCTGAAAACATAGTTCTCTTTGCAGAACTTCTGCATGACAAATTGCCTTCAGTCGAGTGCTCACCGTTGCATGATCTGCTGTACTCTAGTCTGAACTTCATTTTCACAAATGGTCTGTTACCATTACAGAAATATTTCATGAGCTGAGTGAAGCAACACACAGCAAGACCCCAGTTCCACAGCAGTACACAATCAGATATAACTTAGTTTATACTAATGGATGATGGTCTTTCTTATTTGTCTATGGGAGGTATAGATTCACTTGAAGGGAGAAGAGTGTCCCCTGCATTATCCACCCCTTTCTACATCTAACCATTTGGACTTCTAGAGCAGAAATTATGGTAAATACTTTTTTTTTTTTTTTTTTAATGTTTCAATTAAGTTAAGATGTGCTTGAGTCTGAACATTTGGTGTTATCTCCAGAAGAGGATCTTGGACTGAAGAGGTCTCTCCCTTCCTTAGCATTCTCACAGAATACCTGCCTGTTTTAGGAGGGGCATGGAGATAGCCACCCTTTATATAGTGACCTCTGTGCCTTGGGAGCCAGGAATGTCTGCATGGAGGTTCTGTGCCTTGACACAGCTGTAGCCTTGCATAGGCAGTGTGGGGGGGAAAGGGTCTGTGGTGCATTCTGTGAGCAATGTGTGGCTTTGGCTACTCATGAGTACTCAAGCCCAGATAGATCTATACAAGAGAAGCAGAATAAAACAGTTTCGATTGTGAATACACACTCCTGTGAGAAAAGCAACCCTTCTCTACTGATAATGGAAGGGTAAAGCATCCAGGGGAGCCTGAAGTTCAGTAAGGGTGCCAAAGCTTGCAGGGAGTGTGAGATGGCTTTTTTAGTACTGAGACCTTTCATCATCTGCCTGAGAAATGCATAAGCATTGCTTTGTTTCTGTGTGTCGCTCTGAGTCTCTTTCAGTTCTTGCTGCATCTGTTTGAGTGGAACTTCTTCAGCTACCAAGAGATCAGGCAGCCAAAGGTGCAAGGTGGGTGAAAAAATGGGAGCACAGGATGGCATTGAGATAGAGAGCTGGCATTGCCACGTTGTTCTTAAAGGTCCTGTAGCCAAGAGCAGTCTCAGAGTGCTCCCCTTGCTCACGTAACCTGCTGCTACTGGTCTGTCAGCTGTTACTCACATTACTATGTATCTGCTATGATGTTATTAATTGTGCACTATAAATACACATGATGTGCAGAGCACAGGGCTAATGTTTCCAAAAGCTTTTAGGCATTATCCAGGGCTAACATCCAGACTGTTTGAGAGACCAGAGAAAAGCATTCAGAAAATTTATTTCTAGCTGTGGCTTCTGCATAACTGAGCAGGCATATTCAGTGGGCTTCACCAGATAGGAAATTTTTTGTCACAGGTGTCATCATTTGGGATGAGAGGACCTGCTGTCTTTGTGGGGTATTCTACAAATGATCTGTTCATACGTGCAGGGAACTGTAAAGAGTCAAGTGGTACTTGGTATTGAATTTTATAAATAACAGTTTTATAGTTGCTCATTCTTTTAGACAGTTCCTCACATCTCCATTTTGTTCCATGCACTATTACTGGCAAACATTTTTGAATATTTGGTGATGCCCCTTTGAAAAAAAATCTGGAAAAGATTGCCAAGAAGCTTTGTGAACCAGCCAGGCATTGCCTTTGCCTTGGAAAGTGACCCTAGTAAGTGGAAATGGCATCACGTTAACTTACCTTTTGGGAATTCTGATGGATATAAGGACCTAGAGACTTTACAACATCAGTTCACCTGAAAATGCCTTTGGACTTAGAATAGGCCTGGATTCTTTGGGATAGTTGGCTGTTTTTATTGTGGAGTGTAAAATCAAAAGTCTCCCTTCCAAATGAGTTCCTGAAGCACTGGGATTACTAGTTCACCCTCAGGTCTTAAATCAATGAGACTTTTGCCTCCAGTTCCTTTGGTGAAGGACACAAAATGAGAATATGTCTGCAGCAGTAACTTAATGTAATAAAGGAAAAGAAAGCCTCACAGGGAGAGAAAGTAACAGTATCATGGGCTAGCTAGCATCCTGCCATAGGATTGCTTGCAAAAATACTGTCTTCAGAAATATGCTGCTATCAAAGATATCACTTGCTCATAAGATCGTTGTATGCCTAAACTGACAGTAATCGAAGGAGCTGTTCTTGTGTTTTTGAAGTGCAGAGCCAGGATCTATATAACTAACCTTAGTGGAGCTGTACACAGCCTAATAGAGACAGAATGCATCCTTTAGTAATAATATAGAATAAGTGTGTGCATGAATCCCTCTGTCCCACATCATTTCATACCTGTGTCTGAGGGAGAAATTGGCCTTTTTTTTGTTTTTGTTTTTGTGTTATTGTTACAAGGTTTCTCAGCAAATTATATGGAAGCCTTTATCACTGTTAAAAATGCTACTCAGGTCTGTGTTGTGTGTTTTCTGTGCAGCTTGAGAAAATATAGTGATAATAACAAAATTTTGCACTTACAATACCCTGTTCCTGTGTTGTTCTTTGGACACCTAACAAGTAGGAACATAAGACTCACAAGCATATTCCCCTACCCATGACATTAACATCATCTGAGATATAAAGATGAGGCATACAACTGATGTGTTGCTCTTCATTTTAGTACAACTTCTTTACAGTACTTTGCTATCAAAGGGGGTACAAGAAACTTGGGAGTATGTTAGGATATTCTTGTCCCTGTTGGATGCATTCTTCAATACTGGATACAATCTTTGGCCATCATGAAGTGAAATTTCCTGATTTCTTTGAGGACATTTTTTTTTTCCTGTGCTGTGGATTACCCATTTTCCCTATGCAGGGTTTTTTCTTCCTGTAGCATGTGTAATATGAACAACAACACATTTTATTTAGTATTACAGTATTGGAGGATGTCAAAGCAGTTAAAGCGCTAATGTGCTTTGCACATTTTTTACAAAAAATGTCACCTGTTGGATCCAAAATTTCCTTTTTTTTTTTTTTTTTTCTTCCCTTCCCACTAGAAACTGGTAACATCTCAATTATGGTGAGAAAAGGGGATGAGTGGCTTCAAAATACAGCCCAGCTCATTTGGCAGCTGTGTCAGTACTTGAAGTTTTTATATTTATCTTTGGAAATAAGATATTCTTTCCTAATTCCCTCCTGTGACATGCAGTGTAGATTCCAGTAATAAGCTAGATAGCTGATACCTCAATATTTATTTTCAATATGCATAAGTTGCTCTGAAGGCTATGCTTCCTATTTATTTCTGTGGACACTACAATGAAGAGTACAAAATGACACTAGTAGAGCAAATTCTCAGCTACAAATCAGTTTTTCAACACTCACCACTATGAG